GCAATGATTTCTTTCTTTTCTTCTCTTAACATATGAATTATACCGCTTTTTAATTTTATATTAGTTGCCTGGGAGTTTCAAAAATATAGCTTTAACTAACCTAAATCTAACTTTGAATATTATTATATTGCTTCACGTAAACCACAGATATTGTATAACAGAGGATTCCCTATTCCTCCATCTTTTTCCTGGAACATCTGTGTCATTCATTTTTTGTATTTATATACTATAATGACTGAATACATTATCGCTATTATTACTTTAAAAGAAAGTCATCTTTTAAATCAATTCAGAATCAAAATTTTCAAAATTCAATTGACTTGCGTTTATGCCTTTTCTGATGGTCTTCTTTTCTTGTGTGTAAATCTGAAACTCTGATCTCCTTCACTTTTGAATAATAATTTTGCCAGATACAGAATTCCAGATTGGTATGTTTTTCTTTCATTCATTTAAGCATTTCATTTTATATTCTTCTTTCCCTTATTGCCTGAAATGTTTCTGACAAAAATTCCACCATGATTCTTGGAATTACTTCTCTACAATACATATTTTACTTTCCTCTGACCTTGATCAAGATTTTGCTTTGTCTTTTCTGCAGCTTAAATATAGAATGTCCAGATAGGATTTGTTGTTCAATATTTATCACATTGGATAATATCTGAGTTTCCTTTATCTGAGGCTTTGAAGCTCTGATTGGTTTTAAACGTTTCTTGGCAATTATTTCTCCAAATATGATACAGGAGATAAAAAGAAATTATCTTAGGCAGGTAGTGAAAGCAAAAGAGTCTTTGGCATAACTTTCCTTCTAACAAAAACCAGCCTAAGAAATCACTTATTTTCTAATAAACAACAGCCTGAAAGATCGAGCTGCAAACAAAAAGAAGGAAGCTGAGAGCTTGCACAGTGGGATGCTGACAGCTGTACTAGTAGAAAGATGCCAGGCATGTTCACCTTGGGGGCTCCACCTTCCCTTTTTGTTAGTATGTGTATAGTAAGAAAGAAAGAAGCAACATGGAGTAGCTACCCACCTGCATAATAAAAGTTTGGGGTGGGGCCGGGCACGCTGGTTCACACCTGTAATCCCAGCACTTTGGGAAGCTGAGGCGGGTGGATCACGAGGTCAAGAGATCGAGACCATGCTGGTCAACATGGTGAAACCCCGTCTCTACTAAAAATACAAAATGTTAACTGGGTATGGTGGCACGTGCCTGTAATCCCAGCTACTCAGGAGGCTGAGGCAGGAGAATTGCCTGAGCCCAGGTGGAGGAGGTTGCAGTGAGCCGAGATTGCACCACTGCACTTCAGCCTGGGTAACAGGAGCGAAACTCCGTCTCAAAAAAAAAAAAAAAAAAAAAAAAAAAAAAAAAAAAAGACTGGGGTGGGGGCAGCCAGAGATTCGGGTTCTATGCAGATGGCATATCTGGTCCTAACCAGTTTTTCAGACACTATGTAGATTAGGCACTGTCTCCACACTAGCTCATCTATAAAAATCCCTGCATTTCACCACAGATCAGCAACCCATTTTTCCAGGACCCCTCTCTGTAGCAGAGAGCTATTCTCTTTCTTTCACCTATTAAAATTCTACTCTAAACCTCACTCTTTGTGTGTGTCCATATCCTTGATCTCTGTGGCCAGGAGACCAAGAACCTTGGGTGTCACGCCAGACAAGCAGACCACTTCAGTACTTTTTATGCTTCCTTCGTTCTTTACCTTCTGACTTTTCAATTATATGTATGTTACATCTTAAGATACCCCACCACAGTTATTAGATATTCTAAGGGCTGGAGGGCTTAATGCTTTTTCCCTTTGCATTTGGTTTGGGAAATTTCTATTGGTCTATCTTCTAGGTAACATTCTTTTCTAGATTGTGTCTGGTCTATTGATTATTTTCAATTTCTGCTACAGTTGTTTTACATCATACATTTTTGTTTGATTTACCTTAGTGTTTTCTTCTCTCTGCTTAAGTTACCCATCTACTCTTGCACGCAGTCTACTTTTTCCATTAGAGCGCTAACATATTAATCATAGTAATTTTAGATTCCCAATCAGCAAATTTTCACATCAGGGTCATACCTGAGTCTGCTCCTAATGATGCTTCTTTTGACCCTTCAGACTCTGTTTTTCTTTGTATTTAGCATACCTTGCCTTTTTTTTTTTTTTTTTTTGGTCAAAGGGGAGAGCTGTGTGATCAGGTAATACAAACTGAAATAAATAGACCTTTAGTATAAAATTTTTTGGTTAATCTGGCTAGATGTTAAAACGTTGTTTACTTTTTGTTCTAGATGTAGGTGCCAAAGGCTTCAGATTCCTTTTTTCTTTTTGTCTGTCCCCTGGACTTTGAGCTTCCCTGAGCAACCTCCTCAGAGAGTCAGTCTACCAGGAATAATCAAGAAAAATAAGAGAGGATAATATAAATGATCGGTGTCAGGAATGTGAAGGGATGACACTACAGATATTACAATGGTAATAAAAGAATATCATGAACAATCTTATGCAAATAAGTTTGTTTACTTATTCGCATAATTCCTGTAAAACACAAATTTATTACAGAAAATATTCCTGTGAGACACAACTTACCAAAACTGTCTTGTAAGGAAATAAAACAACTAAATATTTTTCTATCTATTAGAGAAAGAGAAGTTATAACAAAAATCTTTCTGTGGTGAAAGTTTGGGGAATAGATACTTTGTGAATTCTATCAGACATTTGAGGATAAAAGTTTACCGCATCTATACACTCTGTTTTAGAAATGCCAGTTTGCTGTCACACCAAAATTAAAGACATTACACAGAAACTAAAATAAAAGCCAATTCTCACATGAAAATAAATGCGAAACACTTTTAAAATATTGAAAAATTACACTTATCAATCTATGATATATTATAATGCGTCATTAAAAGTGTTTTATCTTAGGGATATAAGATTGGTTCAACATTTAAAACTCAATCACCTTTTTCTCCTCCTTAAAAAAGAGAAACCTATTTACTCGAAAGATAAAAGGAGAAGGCACCTCAGGTGGCCGATAGTCATGAATGCATAAAGCAATCTTGCTAACTAAGGCTCCCATGCAAATGGGTTTTGTTCTGACTCTGGTGTAATTAATTAGAGAAAGGCTTTAACACTCTCCATTTCCATCTTCCTCTCTGAGATCACAAACATTATCACAAGCTATTATCCATGGCTTTACAATGGATTTTAAAAGTCCCAAATGTGGCTTCTTGGTGTGACTGCTGTTAAAAGAAAAGCTTCAGCTTCATTAAATTTAAAAGAGTTTAACTGAGCAATGAACGATTTGTTAATCAGGCAGCATCCCAAGCTAGAGAACACCCAGAGACTCCAGGGCAGCCAAGTAGTGGAAGATATAGGAACAGAACAAGAGAAGTAAGATACAGAAAATGGACATGACATAGAGAGACAACTGGATAGGTTATAGCTCAGTGTTTGCCTTATTTGAATACAGCTTGAACAGTTGGCCACATTTGATTGGCCAAAACTTGGTGATTGACACAAGAGTATGCTACAGTCTGTTTACACTTCCATTTTGGCTGCACAGAGAAACCTTTAGGCTAAACTTAAAATATGTAAGAAGGCAGCTTTAGGCTAAACTTGATTTAACATTGCTCTTCTACTTACTTTTGCTTCTCTCTTTAGAGGCTTTCTGCTGTCTCCTAGACTGATAACTAGGTACAGATTGACAAACTTTTTTTGTAATAAGCCGTACAATAAAATCTTTATGCTCTGCCGCCAGATGGACTCTGTTGCTAGTCAACTCTACATTGCACCATGAAGTAGACATTGACAATGCATTAATGAATAATCACAGCTGTGTTTCAATAACATTTTACTTACAAAGTGGGTGATGTGTTAGCATTGTCCCACAGGTAGTCATTTGCTAACATCTTAGTTAGAACATTAATCTGGTGGGAACTTCCTGAGGACTTTGAATGATCATGGGAATTAGTACTTCGGATGAAACAAAGTCATGAAGGTTCACCCAGACATTTTCCCCCTTATGAGGAGCTCTTGTATGTTTTATTAGTGACCTTTCTGTGTGGACCCACAAATTGCAAATTATTGCCCACTGCTTCAGAATCAGTAAAAAATGCATATTTTTAAAGCATTTCTTTGCTTCATATAATTTTATCTGCACAGTATGGATTATGGAGCAATGTTCTGAATTGTCTCCTTCGGTGACAGTAATTTGTGTGTTGTATGCTGAAGTCCTAACTGAAGGCATTACCCGACATGAAATGATCACCAAAAGGGGACAGAAAAATGTCCTGAAACATGGTAGTTTCTACCAAGCTTCCCTTACCCTCTGACCTTTGAAATGGGGCAACATGGCCTTCCTAATATCCCTCTCTACCTATTATCTTAAAACCAACTCAGTGTATCCACGTTAACAGTAACGTAAACCTATAAACGAAAACCATGAACACTCAATGGTATTTTTATGTATGGTCATCTTTCCAGACCCTCCCTGCTTTTTCTTACTTCTGCTCTGATAACGCTATCATATGGTTCTAAATCCAGACTTTAACTATCCTCTTCATGACCCAGGTTTGTACTAAGACAATCAGATTTCTTTTGCTCCATAGAGGGCCTCAGATCATTTGTATTATCTATGAAGGAAACAGGATTGTTAAGTTAAAGACACTGAAAATGCAGGGGAACATGCTGCCTCAGGCACTATTTGGCTGACAGCAGGACATAAATCCTTATTGACTGGAGAGAGCATTTGTTTTTCAGCCCAGAGAAGGTACTAGCAGGAACCTGAGGAATCCAGGAACAGATTTTACTGCCTTCCCACATTTTCCCACCTTTTAAATGACTGGAATTGCTTTCTCCTTTGCTTTCCACTCCATAGGATTTATGGCTCTTTATTGAAATATTATTTAAACAAGGTTTCTAAGCCACAGCCTGGAGAGAGAAATACTTTTGAACTGAAGCCTATCCCTTGTGACGGGTAGAGCACACATTAATAAACTGCTGGTTTTTCTTTTGTTAATTTGGCTTTTGTTTTCAGGAGACCGTCAACTAAGAATCTAAAAAGGGTAATTTTTAAAAACATGTTTTCTCCCCTACTGCTGTATTTGGGGCCCCACTTTTCACTCATGGCCACATCCTGCTGGGAGATCTGCTGCTGAGTAAACAGAACATCATCTGCCAATTAGTGTCATTTGTTTGACATCTTGGGGTTACAGTACTCTGAAGGGCATCCACTGCCCTTAAAAGACAGAACACTGGTGAGCAAAGGGTTTATTAGGACTCTCGCCCTACCAGAAGTTCAGTGTGTTTCCAGGACTTTCAAGGCTTCACTGCTGTCATGTTGTGAGCTCACTATCCACTTGTGTTTTTCCACGAATAATGAAGAAAACCTGAGTAATCATGAATCTAATCATTGAGGTAAAGTAACCTAGTCATCATCAAGAGGACAGCTAGTGTTAAACTTCTTTATATATATTTGAGAAAGGATTTACATATTCATAATAACTTTCTGATCTGGCAGTCCCTAGGTTTGTCAACTACTAATAACTGGGTGAATGCTTTGGGTAATATTTAAACCAATTGCAATTTCTTAGCAGACATTCTCCCATCCAGGAGATGCAGTAAAGTACTGGTGGCAATAGATGCTTCTACCAGTATCTCCTCCTGTCACTGCCACTCTGCACAGGAAAGGAGGGAGAAGAAGCCACCTTACTTCTATTTGATAATCATTCAACAGAACAGAGGTCCCTAATGACCCACATGTAAGTCTATTGGCTAAGAAAGTTCTAAGGTTGGAACTTCATTCAGCTATCGATATTTGTAAGAAAAAAAAAATTAAATATAACTTTGATGCAAATTTTACTTTCATTAAGATACCTACAGGAAAGAAACTCTTAATTTTCTCTAACAGAATCGAAAGCTAAAAAATACTGGTGGGAGGAATCTACACATGGTTTCACAACTCCTCTCTCCCTGCGGAAGTAGCAGAATATGAGGAAGCCAGTACTGGTCAAGTGACTCTAAGGAGGGCCATTTTCCCTTGTTGTCTTCAAAAATACTTCATTTTCTTGGCATTTCAGGAGATTACAACATTATGTATTTCAGTTTCTGAGAGCGTTACTGATTTATTTCCTTACTCAAAACAATCCTGGTTTCCTACATTTCTGAAGATCTCAAGATCTGGACTACCATTGAAGAAATTCCCAGTAAGGTGAGTACTGTGGGTGTTTTTTGTAGAAAAGATCTGGATGCTTCCTTGAACTCCACAAAATCACAAGGGAAAACTCAATATTGGTTCTTCAGGGCAGTTGGAGAAAGGGAGGAGGGCTGGTATCAACTATATTCAGAAAAGTGAAAACTGCAGTTACTAATTCTAATTCTTTACTTACTTCAAAGATAGTAAACATCTTTTATTCCACAACTAAAGCATGAATGAAGGAATATGCATTTCGACCACTGTAGATTTTAAAATTCTATGAGTATATATTCTCTGAGTTTAGAAAGCTTGGTGGCCATTGGGGTCTGGGCAAAAGACAAGATAATGATTTCATTCTTTTATGGCTGCATAGTATTCCATGGTGTATATGCACAACGTGGATGCTGCTGGAGAACATTATCTTAAATGAACTAATGCAGGAACAGAACACCAAATACAGCATGTTCTCACATATAAGCGGAAGCTAAACATTGAATTCATATGGACACAAGATAGGAACAGAAGACATGAGGACTGCTTGAGAGGGAAAGATGGGAGCGGTATGTGGGTTGGAAGGCTATCTGTCTGGTACTGTGCTCACTACCTTGACGACGGGATCATTGTACAACAAGCCTCAGCGACACACAATTTACTCATGTAACAAACCTGTACATGTACTCCCCGAACCCAAAATGAAAGTAGAAGAAAAAATAAGACAAGATAATGATGTGCACAAAGTATCAGGAAATATTAAGTAAAAAAATACATCTACATAGTGAGAACATATGTGAGAACATACATGTGAGAATATGTTTTATAACTATATTATTCTATACATGCACACACATAGTAGAAAATGTAACCATTTTACGAACACAATTATTCAAATAAATGGTGTCGATATTTTCATAAGTATGTTTAACCTTTACATCAGCTCCATTCTACACCAGGTGTAAGAGGCAGTTTTTCAGACATTTTAAGATTACTTCCTGCCCTCCTGAAAGTTAATTATTTTTAATTTTTCTAATGGCAAGGTATAGGGGAGAGGCAGAGAAGTCAATCTGAAATAGATTTATATTGTCAAAGTTTAGAATATTTAGAAGACTTTCCGTATAGCCTGGTGCAATATTTCAGTATGCTTGAACAGAATATGAGATTTTAAATGATTTCAGAATTTATATATGTTAGATAAATATTGCTGTCAATATTTATCTCACTCAAACTTTTTAAGTGTTATACATTTTTTACCTTGTTCATTTAGTATTTAAAGACATAAAATGTACCATACGACTGTATTTTCTTGTACTTCTCTCAAATTCATATATATTATAGATATGCTCACATGCATATATATTAATGTATATTATGTGTGTATGTGATCATGTATACATTTCCATAAACATACACATATAAATACATATATTTGTGGTAGTGTGTGTGAATGTGTGTGTATATGAGGATATATTATATGACACTATATTATCATGAAGGACTATACAGTAATAAAAAATAATACATACTGATTATTATTAAATTCATAATTTAAACTCTTGTAACTTTCCAGGAATTGAACCATTTATCATGGGGTATCTGATCATACTTGTTGTCTTAAGATCTTTTAAAAATGATGCTAACATAAACTGACTATCTTCTAGCTCCTCCTTGCATGATAATTTAAAATTTTTTTTCACCATTAAGTGATCTTTTACTGATAAACATACATACAGAATTTTTAGTCAAATTTGATCAAAGTTGTCATTTAACTAGTTAGGCCTTTTATGTATAAGTTAATAATTAACATATTTTGGCCTGTTTCTGCTATCTTCATTGCGATTCATAACACTTCTATATTCTCCTCCTTGTCTTTTTTAAACTTGTATTTCCATCTCACCCTCTAAGACAATTACATTAGTAAACTGTCATATTCTTTTTCTTTCCTCCCTCCACCACGTTGGTTCCCTTTCTGTTTCTCTTTTCTTTGATCAGGGCTTTCTTTTTAAGACATAGACACATATAATCAAGTTCATTTTTCACTCTTTCTTTTGGCCTGCAGCTTTTTTAAAAAATTTTTAATTTTCAATTGAAAAGTACTTCCAAAAATGTTCTGTGTGCATCTTTTTTTTTTTTTTTTTTCTAAGACGGGGTTTCACCATGTTGGTCAGGCTGGTCTTGAACTCCTGACCTCAGATGATCCTCCTGCCTTGGCCTCCAAAGTGCTTGGATTACAGGCGTGAGCCACCATGCCCAGCCCCGGTGTGCATCTTTGTCTGGAAAAACTACGTAGGCCTTGAGCTTCAGAAAACAGTTTTTGTGGATCTTTTGTTTAAATATCATTTTGTTTAGATTGAAACTCTAGTTTTAAAATTATTTTTTTTCCTCAAGACAAGGTGATAGCATTTCTTTTGTACCCAGGAAGCTTGATATGTTTTGAAATTCAGGACTTGGAGTTTTATAAAGACTATGTAATGCACATTTTCTAGAAAACCAAGTGTTATCAGGATCATTACTGCAAAAGCAAAACCACTAATATTTCAGCAACAAAACGTATGAACATTTGCATTTAAGTGGAGAAAATAAAAATCATACATAGCCTCCTGTAACCTCACATTTGGTTTCATTTTGCAAATAAATTGTGTTGTCACACTCACTAAACAAATCAAGACTTCCCATTTCTAAATTTTTTATTTAGCAATTTATATGGGATTTTGTAGCAGCACTATATAAAAATGATTCCATTGTCCTGTTTCAAGGAGATTTGTTGTTGAGAATCAGTTTCAATCTAATTTTTGGATATTTGCTGGTGATCTATTCTTCATTCCTGGAGGCTTACGGAGTATTTATCTGTTTTTTTATATTCTTCAGTTTCACTATATGTCCTTGTATAGATTTTCCTTCATTCTATGCTTTTCAATCTGAGGACACTCAGGGTCTCTCAAGAAAAAAGCAATTAACAGCCCCAGAAATTTAAATATCTAAATTACACAAGAGGTACACAAATACATGGTTTCTAAAATTAAAATATTTAGTTTTGGTTTTGGTTTTTTTTTTAGATGGAATTTTGCTCTTGTCACCCAGGCTGGAGTGCAGTGTCATGATCTCAGCTCACTGCAGCCTCCACCTCCGGGTTTAAGTGATTATCCTGCCTCAGCCTCCCAAGCTGCTTGGAATACAGGCACCCACCACCACACCTGGCTAGCTTTTGTATTTTTAGTAAAGACGGGGTTTCACCATGTTGGCCAGGCTGGTCTCAAACTCCTGATCTCAGGTGACCCTCCTGCCTCGACCTTCCAATGAGCTGTGTTAATTTGAAAAGAAATACAAATCCATACCATGCTCTGAGTGTCATCATGTGCTAAAGTGCACAGGCGCTAAAGAGATCCCAAGGATTAACACTCTGTCCATAAGGGGACTCTGAAAATTTCTAGAAGACAAACCCTTGAGTCTTAAAGGTTGTATGGGAGGTAGTCAGAGAGATGAATGTGGGAATGGCTTTCCAAGCAATGAGAAGAGAATTAGCAAAGTCATGAAACATGAAAATGTATGGTATGTTTTATACTTCTGAAATGTAAGCTCTAAAGAACACACAAGTGCCACAGGTAAAAACGAATGCAGATTATTCACAGCCTTCTAAAACAATGCAAGAAGCGAGGAATTGTTGAAAAGAAAATGGGCGAATATTGAAAGATCTCAGTGGGATAAAAATGTAGTTTATAGAGAGAAATGTGGATCCGTGAAATGAAAATGTATTAGACAAATCAAGTAACTTTGAAATACCTCCAGCCAATAAATCCTGTGTTCCTGCAATAGAATGTAGATGTTCAGGAAAGCGATACTTTTATGGGCACAGAGGGCAAACAGGGCAAGGAAGAGGATACTAATGAGAGTTAACTAGGGAAGAGTTAAGAACAGGGTCAGTGCCCAAGAATGAAACTGTAGTGTTGTGGCAGAAAACTATTCACACAAGGTCGGGGGACGCAGCCTGTTTTCACATAAGACACTTCAGTTACAGCGGTGAGTGTGGGAAGATTTAAGAAACAACAGGCAAGCTTTGGTGAGTAGGCTCCAGCCCCAATAAAGGATGGGAAGAGAAAACAAAGACTTTGACACTGCACAGCCCATACTCTAAACACTGAGACTATTGCTTGTTCTCAAACCTCCCTCTAATACCTGGGCCCAACTCAACTATCCTTATTCAATGGGAAAAATTATTTAGACATTCCTAAAGCAGCAGTTCACTCAATTTCTACGGTAACACATTTGGTCATCAAGTCCTTCTTTATCACACATATTCATGAACAACTCTTTCATATGGCCATTCGATCGCATAGACATACATCTTCTTTTAAATAGTCTGTATACATGTGTAACACTGTATGACATTTTTCTCTTGTAGGCTCACTTGTATTTTTAGAGATGGCAAATAACTACAAGACAATTGTTCTACTAAAAGGATTAGAGGTCATCAATGATTATCATTTTAGAATGGTTAAGTCCTTACTGAGCAGCGATTTAAAACTTAATCCAAAAATGAGAGACGAGTATGACAAAATTCAGATTGCTGACTTGATGGAAGAAAAGTTCCCAGGTGATGCTGGTTTGGGCAGACTAATAGAAATCTTCAAAGAAATACCAACACTTGGCAACCTTGCTGAAACTCTTAAAAAAGAAAAGTTAAAAGGTAATTGGGAAGAGGGAACACCTACTCCCTGCAGCCATCCCCAAATCCTTCCCAGCCTTGATTAGAATGCCACTTCAGTCAGCTAATGCATCCTTTTCTCAATTTGTGACCCATCAGTCATGACAACTTACGGCATGCCATTACTAATGTGGATTGACACATATTCGAGTTGAGATGCAGTAAAAGAACAAAAAGGAGAAGAAATTGAAGAGAGATTGTGACTTCCAGTACATTCAAAAGATTAGATAATGACTAGCCAGGTGTGGTGGGCCTGTAATCCCAGCCACTCGGGAGGCTGAAGCCAGAGAATCACCTGAACCCAGGTGGCGGAGGTTGCAGTGAGCCGAGATCGCGCCATTGCACTCCAGCCTGGGCAACAAGAGTGAAACTCCATTCCCCCACCACCAAAAAAAAAAAAAGAAAAGATTTGATAATGACGAAATAAAATTATAAAAAGTGTTGTTTATGTCTAAGATATGTACATTTAGCCAAGTAATGTGTCTGAGAATATTCAACACATCCTTTATAATACAAAAGATAACACAGAATTTAAATGTAAGCATCGTTCTTGGAAGTATGAAGACCTCCCCTCTTGTCATATGATTGAGTTAAAATAATTAAAACAAAGTCAAAACTCACCATATCTCACCTCACAAACCTATATAACATCTTTCATTGGTTTCTGTAATAGATTATCTGGAGGATGTGACTAAGTAGTCAGCATCATGAGAACCTTAAATTTTAAAAGGAAATGACAGAAGAACAGGATTGGGAAAAGGTTTCACTGAGTTCAGAGGACAGGAAGAATGTACTCACCGCACAGGGAAAGAGCGGTGAAAACGCCGAGGAGTATGAGTCAGTGCCTGTGCTTTGGTTTCTGCTGGCCTCCTGGAAGCCAGACTAGGCTAAGGAGGTAGAGGTAGGCTAAACCACACCTGAACTCTCAAGCAGGCACTAAGAGCACGTAGTATTTGAACTGCTTCAGCTGTCCCAGATCATCTGCTCTGGGTTTATATATCTTCCTTTTTTCTTCATTAGTTGTGAATAAAATTGAATCTTTTCCAGTCAAAGGAAAAACCCCATCTAAGAAGCAGCAGCAGAATGAAGTGGATCCTGGTACACCTGAATCCACTCCAAGCGACACTCTCACAGCTGAAGGAGCAGAGGAGACTCCTGGAGCTCAGGTAAGCTTCAGGAAGAGGAGCCAGCTTCAAGTCTCACTGCGGAAGCCCTGCTGTGGCTTCTCCACTCAGTCTCTCCAGCAGGCAGTTATTTCTTCATGTTTCCCATCAAGTTTCAGATTTATCAAATTACATAATACCTGATCATCTTTCTGCGAGGCAACGAGTTAACCACTTTAGTAAATGTAAATTATGTAAAATAAGTATTATATTTTCATCCCCAATAGAGGATGTTAACTTGAGAGTCAAATAAAAAAATGTTTGCCCATGTTTGCAAAAATGTAGTTTTTTTTGTCTGCAAGTCAACACATCCCAAAACACAAGTAATTAAGGAGTGATGTGTGTTACTTTCTCTGCTCCCTTTTTTAAATGGAGCCATCTATGCCCTGTTCTTTCAATTGGCCTGGGGATGTACAGCACCCACTTAAGTTTCCAAGAAACACAATTTATATGTAATAAACATACTACCTTGTAATGAAAATGTGCTCTGCTTCATTTGACACTTAGAATAATTAACAAAAAAATAACTACTTGTAGAAAAGAAAAAACTCATCTGAAGAAGAGACTGGAATCAAAAGGCGTAAGATGTCCAAGGAGCAAACCCAGCCTCCCTGTCCTGCAGAAGCCAGCATGTCCACAGCCAGGAGCCATTCCCCACCTCCCCAGCCCTCATCATCAACTCCATCCAACACTTCCTCAACTGAGGTATTCTCTTCCTGGTCTGCTTTTAATTCATTTTCTTCCACCTAAAATGTAGGAATATGCTTTCATCTTCTACTGAAAAATGTCATCAATAATCAGCCAGTAAATGAAATGTATAGGCTGAGAGTTTATTCCATTTTAATATTTTGCTTCCACAGTGATACTTTATGAACTTGACATTATCTCTGACTTCAGGAGGTTTTCTGTCCTGTGTTGTTTGGGGAAGAGAGAGAGAGCTGTAGAATCCGGAACTTTCAGCAATGGACTCACCGTCTACTGCCCCCATCTGTTTCACATCTCTTCCCTTTGCTCACTAATTGGGTCGAGTTTCTTTGACATACACCATGCTCCTTTCTACTTTAGGATTTTCACACACCATATTTCTTTCACCTTAAACCTCTTACCTGGCCAACCCTATCTACCCTCTGGATCCCAATATTGTGATCTTATCCTCAGGGAATCCTCAATTAGACCCCTGTAACTTAGGTTAAACCTTCATGGTGTTCTGTTTCCTAGGGACTTCTTTCTTTTCTACTATTTATGAAAACTGAAGTTAGTAAGTGTTTATCTTTTCCACCTACTGAAAGTAGTTCCAAGATTAAGGCTATTTTGTAATTCTGTGGACCACTGTATTCCACGGCCTCGTTCATTGTGTGCCTCATGGGAAGCTCCCAATAAATACCTTTCCTCAATAAAAAAATGTAAACCATGTTCTAAGATATGAACCACTAGAACTAAGCAAAGGACAAATAAAGGTCATCTGACTCAGTCAAAGTACCTATTGTGAGGCCAAAAGGATAGAATAGGGAAGAGAGCTCAGGAGTTTGGGAAAATGTAGGCAGACAGAAGACCATACACCAAGACTTGCAAATGAAAGAAAGTAAATTGTAATTTATAGTTGCATGATTCTGATAATCCTTATACTGTTGTACTCATCTCAGATTTGGACAGGTCAGCCTTTACTTTTAGACTATCAGGGATAGTCTAAAATCTAATTGAAACTCTCATGATCTTTATTATAAAAATGGATGTTCTATATTTCTGATACACAATGGAGGGGATCAACTTTGATGGGCAACAGGGGCCACAGGTGATGAAACCACAAGACCAGCTGTAATTGGAACATGCTCTATTACCTTTAACCTTTTATTAGATTTTGTATTAACATAAGACTATTTCAGAAAAAAAGGAATAAATGTAGACAAATAAGATTAAACTTAATTTATGTGAAATTCCAGCATCCATAACATGCTACATTTCCCTATATACCCTCTCATATTTACTCCTATGTATACACGTTATTTTTCCTGAAAATAGCATCATACAATGTATTGTCCTGTTATGTCTCTCTGAGTGGTTATATGATCCCCTTCATGCACGTCCTGGATTCATTTGGCTCCTTGTGAGGTTGCATATCAGCTACTACTAATATTCTCATGGATGAGTCTACTGTTACTGATTAACTTGTATTGGGAAAGGACTTTTCTGTGTTAGGCTGAATGGGTCACATCGATAAAAAGTCAGATCCAATAACGTCCAATCACTCACAAATGATCGCTGTGTATAGTAGTCCAGGTCAGACCAGCCCAGAAGCTGCTGGTTTGTGGATGAGGCCTACCTGTTCCTCCAGAACTTTTTCTTGAAATTGAACTACTTCTCCTTCATTAGGAAAGAGGAATTTAAGGAAACCTGGATGTTACAGAAAAAGGATATTAAAGACAATCCACTCTCATCCTTGGTTTTCTGTCAGCATGCTACCTCCTAGAGCCCTGACATTGAGAAAGTCCGCAGTGGTGGAAATGACACTCTGCAGAGCGTCTGTAGCCTGAACCTACTGAGATGAGGACATTCTGAGGGGTTGAGCCCACAGGTGTTATCACCTGTTTTAACAGTAATTATCTTAGATAGGAAAAGTATGAGTTGTCCTCTAAAAATTGCCCTGTCTACGTTGGTAATAACTAAACCCTCTTGTTGTATGTGGTTTCTGGTAGACACCCTTACCATTTTCTGTGCTATTCAACTGTATTTCATCTATTTTTATGTTCTGGCATTTTAAGCTGGTAAGAATAAAACTGCAATTCATTATTTTATCCTAAAATTTATTTTAAATAACTTCATGATAATCGGCTCAGCATCCATTTGTCTTATGTTGCTATTATATCTTACATTTTAAGGATTATTCTGTTTAGAGAAAAGTCTTTTTCTTTTACCATGTGGTCTCCTATATTACTTCCTCTGGCTATTAGACTACGTCCGGATATCCTCTCATTCTCTGTATCCTGCTCTACACATCTATGAAGTTTTGGGGCCCAAAGTGGCGACTTGAGGTCATTGAAGAGCAGTTCTGTATTCCTCACTCAAAAATTTGTTTTTTCGTATTTCTTTTTTACCAGGCACAAAGCCTAAGACCATTGGTCAGGCGTCAGGCAACTGCCAGAAAAAATATTTGCTCAAAAGACCCAATGATGGTGATGGTGCTAAATGCCACAAAGATATTTAAATATGAATCCTTAGAAAACGAGCGAAGAAGAATGTTTCATGCTACAGTGGTTACGCAGACAGAGTTCTTTCATGTGAAGGTTTTAAACATCAACTTGAAGAGGAAATTCACTAAAAAGAGAATCATCATTATATCAAATTATTCTAAATATAATAGTCTCCTAGAGGTGAATGAAACCTCTTCTGTATTTGAAGCTGGTCCTGACCAAACGTTTCAGGTTCCAAAGGACATCATCAAAAGAGCAAGGAAAACTCCGAGGATCAATATTCTTCACAGACAAGCTTCAGGAGACATTGTATATGGATTATTTACGCTACATGACGTAAGGCATCAAAGCTGTTTTGTTTCATTTTCTAGAAAAACACTTGAAATTAAGATCCCTGATGTACTAAATGGAACTTTGCATATTTACTTAACATTAGAACTCAGGACTCTCTCAAAACAACTGACAATTAGATAAAGTCTTCTTCAAGGTTAAGACCAAGATTAGGAAACCTATTAATATTCTCCTTCCAATGTTTTTCTTTCCAAAATGTCACCCTGATGTTCTTTAGTAAAGCATTCACTGAGAAACCGTGAGACTTCATCAGCTATGACTATCTATTCTGAGCCATAATGATCAAGAATAGTGAGGGATCTAGCCTAATACTAAATTTATTTCTTTGATTATAATCTCAGTTGTAGCAAAAATCATATTACTTTCATTTTGAATGAAGTATTGGCCTTTGAGGCTTGAGTTCCAGTTTTGACAGTCAGGGCAACAAATGAATTGACTGTTCATACCTGGAAATCAAAAGCAGAAAACAGGTAGGACGATGTTCAGACCAAATGAAACCCATTCATCGAAAAGTATTGAACAACTGGGAAATAGAATTCGGGCGATACTTGGAAAGTCAGGTAATCTGTACTTGAATATTAGACACATCATGTCACCGAAAAAAAAAAAAAAACAGCACAATAATTTTTCTAATATGTTACTGTCAAAATTCATGAAACTAGTTAGCATGAGAGATTCCAACTCAGAAAACCATCTATACCTGGCTATTGATTCCAATAATTTCTTAGATGACCGATAGCTCACAACCCATTATGTTTATTTTCTAGAACAATCTCTTATTTTACCAGCATTGCTTTCTGTATACACTCTTAAATTATTCTTAGAAATACATATCTAGGCCAGGCGTGGTGGCTCATGCCTATAATCCAAGCACTTTGGAGGCCAAGGCGGGCTGATCACCTGAGGTCGGGAGTTCAAGAGCAGCCTGACCAACATGGTGAAACCCCGTCTTTAAAAAAAAAAAAAAATTTAAAAAGCAAAAAAAAAAAAAAAAAAGTAAAGAAATACATATCTAGAATGACAGGTAATAGCCCTGATGAGCAAGACCTTGGATCATTTGAACTTAAAGACCTGAGTTCAGATGGGAGCAGACATTGAAAGAGATTGAGTACATAGAGAAGGTCAAAAAGTAATTAGTTAATAGAAGCTTGCTTTTTATTATAGATTCCTCATAACATGATGAATGATGAGTCGTAACAGATGCTTATTCTTTTTGCATAGGGGCAGAGGCCAAATAACCGTACCAGAGTTCAGGTTCCTTTGTATCAAGGTGCTTTGGGAAGCATAGGTGTCCTGGAAATGAAAGAAGTTGAAATTGTGAAGATAACCCATTGCTCTAGAACTGTCATAGAAATACTTAGAACATTAAGGACATAAACAAAAAAAGAGTATCAAGGGAAAGCCCTGTGACATGGTCTAAACTAAGGCAGACGTATTGTATGTTGATACTGTACTAGGAGTTGCTGTCTTGCTTCTTGTTTTTAATCTGTTACAAAAGACTTTCCTTTATGTATGGTAGTTACTAAGTTCTCACCAACATGATATTAATTTTTTGTTGCAGAAAAATATAAAGAGGAAGGTGACAATCTATGAAATTCTGGATAAAACAGGGAGAATGGATGTAGTAGGAAAAGGAGAATGTCACAATATCCCCTGTGAAAAAGGAGATAAGCTTCAACTCTTCTGCTTTCGACTGAGAAAGCGGAAAGATGTGTTACAACTGATGTCAGAAATGCATAGTTTCATCCGGGTGAGAAATAGAGACAGAAATGTTAGTTTTCCGAAGATGAAAATCATTTGCTTTAAGTTTTAGGAAATCATATTTCTGTTGTTTTACACTTAAAATTTTGCAGAGTACATGAGAAACCAAATGATGCCCTTGCACTTACATTTAAATAGAGAAAATTATTCAAATATATTGAGAGAATGACATTCATTATTGACTTCGAAAGAACATGAAACTTGTGCTAAATACTAAAATATTTGAAGAAATTAGGAAGGCACGGGACTAACTTAAATAGTGATCAAAAGCAAGTTCTTTGCGGTAAGATAGGGTTGGTATATATGTTGCTCATTAGTTGCATGATATTGGAGAAATAGCTTAAGTGTTCCTCCTGAGATTGGTTTGAAAATTAAATGAGATCATGGATATAAAGTTCATATCCCATTACCTTCCCTATACATTATGACAAATCAGTATGCACTAGATACTACTGCTGTTAACAAGGTAAAGACAGACATTGGAAAGATTTCAGGCAGAAAAAATGTGGCATACAAATATTAAAAGTGAGAAGCAGCATAGTGAGTTCTGTACAACTTTGGAATATGTGGAAATGTGTCAGAAACTCACGCAAGACAGGTAACAAGCAGCCCTCTTCTCATCTGTCGTCTGCCATAAAGAAAAAAATGGAGTTCACTTTTTAAAAATAAGTAAATAAAGATTTTATTTTACTAAGAATGTTAGAACATTTTACATTTTAGCAAAAAAACATGTTGGCAGTTGTCTGAAGGAATACATTAGATAGAGGCAATGTTCAGAGGTAATGACATCTATTAGAATGTAATAAAGGATGATATTCTCAGATATTTAAAGATGTTGTGCTTTCCCTGATATTAAAAAACACTAAACAAAAAAAAATGAATACTTTCAGATATGGAAGACAACAAAGCAGAGAAGCCATGACTCCAGCAGCATGGCACTATGCCAGGAGCAGAGTCAGCTTCCAAAACCTTCAGAGGCTGGCACAACCTTCCCATTTCAACACGATCTCATCAAGACTCCTCAGGTGCCACCAACAACCCCGTCCAGCAGTTCCTTTACCAAGGTACAATTTCCTGGGTCCCATGCCGCATATCTCCCAAACATAAATCGCAAGAATTATTAGACTGTTGAAGGAGTTTCTCTTCTAATCCCTAACTGTGTACAATCTCTAGATGAAATTAAATCACCCATTTATTTACTGACTACATGCAGTGAGATACCACCACATTATCGTCTTTGATATCTAAGATATTTATTTGTGCAATGATTGCTGACCTCAAGAGGGTTAGTATCTTATGTTGTTCTACCTATAGAGATGGGGGGTGGGGGGGGATGGCCAGACAAGCAGAGATGAAGACAAAGAGTGTGTTATGACCCACATTCCAGTTTCTTTCACACCTTTCCCCTTTGCTTACTGGTATTATTTCTGGATTTATTTTCAGCATCCCAAGTTGAAATAAATATTCCAAGTATACATTTTAAAACATGCTATTTCGTTGTTGGGAATCCATTTCTCCCATCCCATCACTGGCAGGAATCTCCTTAAATTTCAGATGCCAGCTTAAATATTTTCCTTTGGCAAGTCCTCAATGATACAAGATAGCGGAACTGATGAGTCCTCCTATTCTTTGCTTTTACAGAGCCTCCTGTCAATGAGAGTAAATTACTAATTTCACGGAAGTGAACAGAGAGGCTTATGATGTAAGATGTTTTCCATGCTTACTTGATTTGGGGTTTCCTGTAATCCCAGCTACTCGGGAGGCTGAGGCAGGGACTTGCTTGAACCCAGGAGGCGGAGGTTGCAGTGAGCCTAGATCACACCACTGCACTCCAGCCTGGGTGACAGAGCAAGACTCTGTCTCAAAAAAACAAAAGGATAAAATAAAATATTTTATCGTGTTTTGACTCATATTGAAACTTATTAACCAGAAAAAAAAAATCTATTTTCTTCCCAACAACTAAGGACACAACTACTCAAACTTCTGACATCAAACTCCTAATGAATTCAGCCCCAGAGCAGAGGCAGCCTCAGCAATTTGGGTTCCCCCCAAATCAAGGAAGTATGGGAAACATCTATAGCACATGATATATTTGCAGAACAGACAAAAACTACAAGTCCCAGCACAGAACATGGAACAACGATGACAATAATTATATTTCTACGATTTGAGCACTTAACTAGGTGCTGGTTCTTAAATGTTGTTCCTGATGTACGTTATCTGATTCCTTCTTCATAACTATCAAGAGAACGCTACTTTCTATCCCAATTCACATAGAAGAAAATAGACATATACAGACATTAAAAATCTTCTTTAAGTTCTCAAAGACAGTGCTAGAGTCAGGATTTATATCTAGCCCTATGAAATGTAAAACTTGAACAATTTATGATCATATGTGGCTTTAGATTAGAAGTTGAGATATACTAATGTCAGCAATTTATTTTAAAAATTTCAGAATTGACAGTGTCATGTAATGGGTTTGTTTCCATAGTCCAAGCTCTACAGGCCTTCTCAAAAATAATGAGTTAGCCAGAGAGAATAAAGTGCCCTGTCATACAGAAGCCACTCTCCAGAATTAGAGTCCTTTCATTCTTCTCTCTAACAGAGTGCTTTTTATATATTAGATAATCAAATTCCAGAAGTGGTAGAACTATGGAAATTAACGTGTTATTAATGAATGGTAAAAATCAGTGAAAATAGAGAAAATTATATGATTGAGAAGAACTATGTCCTTGATTTTGGGGAAAAAATATTAAAAAAAAAAACATTTACTCCAAATGCTAAAGTAGATTAAGTATTTCTAAATATGATTGACAGCCTGGAGAATTCTGGTTAACTGATGCAAACTACAAAACAGCAGAATTCTGTATCTGGAATTGTGGATTTGAAAGAATCTTTCCAGCACAGTGATGGAGTAGATAGACAGATAGATAGATAGATAGAGAGAGAGAGAGAGAGCTGGATTTCCTACAATCTGAAGAACAGAAAACAGGTACCCATTTGTGTATTTTCTTGACTAGAAAGACTTAGATAATAAACACCCATCAGACATTTTCAGGGCAAAGTTTGTAATTCTGGTTTCTGTGTATGCAGAAGAGGAGATTTAGGGAATTTTTTTTACATTTATACAGATATTCCAGAGAACATCTGCACAGAGAGGATCCTGTTAAAATGGATAAAATAGGCAGAGCATGGTGGCTCACACCTGTAATCCCAGCACTTTGGGAGGCCAAGGCGGGTGGATCACGAAGTCAAGAGTTCAAGACTAGTCTGGCCAAGATGGTGAAGCCCTGTCTCTACTAAAAATACAAAAATTAGTGGGGGCATGGTGGAGGGCACCTGTAATCCCAGCTACTCGGGAGGCTGAGGCAGGGAATTGCTTGAACCCGGGAGGTGGAGGTTGCAGTGAGCCTGGATCACACCACTGTACTCCAGCCTGGGTGACAGAGCAAGAGTCTGTCTCAAAAAAAAAAAAAAGGATAAAATAAAATATTTATCATGTTTTGACTCATATTGAAAATTATTAACCAGAAAAAAAATAATCTGTTTTCTTCCCAACTAAGGATACAACTATTCAAACTTCTGACGTCAAACTCCTGATGAATTCAGCCCCAGAGCAGAGGCAGCCTCAGCAAACTGCAATGAAGGACTCATTTCCACATGGGTGTCAGTATCGGGTTTCTCCGTCATGTGCACAAACCTCATCAGGCAGTTTCTCATACAAGGTACCACCATGTATTTCCTATTCCTGTGCTTCACAACATCATAATTACTGGGGTGATTGGATCATGATAGGCACCTCATTGATCTCTACTGAATACAATCTCTTTAATCTAATTTATAATCATTAGTTAAGTATATTATTTGAGACCGTGTAGTGTTTGTCTTTTGGTATTTACAAAGTATATGTTCATGAAATAATTCCTGACTCTAGAGGATTACTCTCCAGGTATGGAGACAGATTGTGGGGATGTAGCCAGGTAAAGGAAGGTGAACACAAGAATGTCTTCATTCTCGAGATTCTAGTTACCTTTCATCCTTTCACTTCGTTCATGACCACACCTCAGGTTTTATTTGAAACTGTCTATGCTCTTTTCCAAATCAGAAGCTTTGACATAGATTACTTCCTTTGCTGGGATCACTCTCTCCAGTCTCTTCTCTAACCCACTTCTTCATAGGTGACAGCCTAAATCCCTACCTAGGACAAGTCCTCACTGATACCAACGTTTCAGATTAGATGAGATCCTCTCATTGCTGGCTCTCTCGGGTCCTTCACTTATGAGCTTTCCTAGCTCCCTTTACTTTTCCTAATAATAGCATTTAAACAACTGGAGTGAAGGAGTGATTTTCCCCCTTTCTATAACATAAGCTCAGAGGGTAAGTAGAGCCTACCTCAGAGGAAGAGAATACAAGAGGGGAAAAAGTCAGTTCGTGCTATGTGCATCAATTATTAGTCCAGATTATCTTTTCCTCCAACATAATGGGACCCCTGCAGTCACCTGCACTTGGGGTTCAGCAGCCTGTATTTATGGAGAAAGTGTGGGAAATTTAGAGGAAAAGCAAAATAATTAAATCATCATTTTTTTACAACTGTTTCTTACCCAAGCCCCAAGGTGCATTCTGACCCAGCAACAGACACCTCTACCACCTTCTACACACTCTGCAAGACAGGCTTCCTATATTCAAGCTCTTTATTTTGTTTTTGTTGTTATCTTTGTAGTTCTCAGCTAGTTAGTTTTAATTAGCTGTATTGTCTCCATAGTTTATTCACGTATTATTTGAGCTAGCAGCCTGTGCCTTTTTGCCAACTTGGCACAAGTGGCTATGAATGGAGCCCTCGCTCAGTCATTGCAACCTCAGATCCATAGTCTCTTGGCCACTTCAATGTCCACTTAAATGAACATCTCCAGAAACAATGCCTTTCTCACTTATATTGGTTGAATAGGACTATGTAGACATTTCTAGATCTTACCTGCCAAAATCTTAATCACAACCCTTGCTAAACCTGTACAAATTATTTTGCTGTACGTGAACATCTCTAGAGCCAGGAATCCCAGGAGGATCTTATACCTTTATGGCCTCAAACACCTAAATGCATCCTTCACCATTTATTCTTGGGTGTCCAACTACCACCTGAAAAAAAAAAATACTATCTAACTACTTACTTATGGCTCACTAGATGAGCAGGAAAGTCTTGTTTCACTCATTATGGGTTTGCTGAAAGATTTTATCTGATATAAGTTGTATATGCATTGGGATTTAAAACAAGGAGCAGCCTATTCTTATCGTTGATTTCTTATGTTAACCTAAAGCCAGAAATGCAAGTTGACAAGGATCAGGACCAGGGATGGTAAGGGAAAGGATTACTCTGAGAAATTAAAAAAAAATAAAATATTAAAATTGACTAATATTTAAAATATTAGTCAACCAGAGTATATATTTTCTCATCCAAATTCCACCATTGTGATGGACTTTTTTATTTGACTGTTTCTGAGACAATAACAACTCAAGATGTTTTTGTCAATAAGTGGTAGAAGGCCAGGCGCGGTGGCTCACGCCTGTAATCCCGGCAATTTGGGAGGCCGAGGCGGGCGGATCACGAGGTCAAGAGATCGAGACCATGGTGAAAACCTGTCTCTACTAAAAAATACAAAAATTAGCTGGGCGTGGTGGTGCGCACCTGTGCTCCCAGCTACTCAGGAGGCTGAGGCAGGAGAATTGCTTGAACCCGGGAAGTGGAGGTTGCAGTCAGCTGAGATCACGCCACTGCACTCAAGCCTGGCGAATGGCAACAGAGCAAGACTCTGTTTCAAAAATAAAATAAAATAAGTGGTAGAAAGAAATAAAGAAGTTTCTTTAGTAAGATACTTTCCATGCCAATTTGATTTAGAATTTCCATGAGAAAGGTAAACAGGGAGTATGAGATATAAGTGATCAGACTAGACATCCAAATCCCAGCAGAAGGAGTGTTATACCAAACATAAATAATATTCTACTTTCTGAGTATTTACAGGGTACTTGTTTTGAAACCTGCATTCTATATATATACATATATGTATATTATCACATTCATTTTTTCATAACACAGTCATGAGAATGCTATTCTCACCCTTATACATAAGAGAAAACTGAAATACATTGGATTTAAAAATATTCCCCAAGTTTACAAACATAGTAAGTGTGCTAAACGTAAATTATTGTACTTTATGTATCTTTTCTTATTTGTTCTTCCTTACACTGCCTCGATGACATTACTGTTAGTCACATTTCATATTTCTGAATACTGAGGAGACGAGAGGTTAAATCTTCATTTAACATACTGCTTTTGAAGGCCAAGATGACTAACTAGGAACAGCTAGTGTGCACCACTCTTGCAGAGAGAACAGAATAGCAAGTAAGTAGTAGATCTTCAACTGGAACATCTAGGTGGACACATTGGGATCCGCCAAGAAAACAACTTTACCCGTGGAGAATGGAGAAAAGTGAGGCGAGGCAATTGCTCACCTGGGAATGGCACGGAGTCAGAGGAGGCTTCTCCACTGCAGGGAAATGGTGAGTGAGTGAGAGTCCCTGGGGACCCATACTTCTACCATGTACCTTTGCCACCGTGCGTTCAGGAGATAACCCCATGAGACCACCCCACTGGAGCCTTCAGACTGACGTGGAGAGCTAAGTGGAGCCTGGGCAGAGCTGCCACTCAGGCACATGAGGAATCCTGGGAGCGTGAATCCCTGAGTATCCTGGAATTAGCAGCTGCATTTCTGGCAATAGGGGAGGCCTTCAGGAAAGGGGCTGAATCCAGGGGACTGAGCAGTGCTGGACTGCAAGCCTCACCTCCACTGCACCTCACAGGCTAAGGTCCACTTGCCTGGGACTCCAGCCGCCTCCCTGCCTGGGCTCATGGGCTAGCAGCAGCTCTGCACTTCCCTGGGACAGAGCTCCCAGAGGGAGGGAAGGCTGCCATTTTTGCTGTTTCTCAGCCATTGCCAGAACTGCCTTCAGGCCCCAGACAGTGTGTGGTGACTAGGGACTGGCTGGATCCCCAGAACAGCACAGACGTCTCATGAAAAAGCGGCCAGACTGTTTTATACGTGGATTCCCGACGCCAGTTCTCCTCACTGAGCAGGACCTCCTGACTTCCGACTCCAGCTACTCCCTACCTGGGCTTTGGTGACTGCAGCATCTCTAGACTTCCCTGGAATGGAGCTCCTAGAGGGAAAGGTAGGCTGCCATTGTTTCTGTCTTGCAGCCTTCATGCCAATTGCCTTCAGGCTCTGGAGGATGAGCAGTGATTAGCGACGGGTGGATCCCCAGCACACTGGAGCCACCCCACAGAAAAGTGGTCAGACTGTTGTAAATGTGGGTCCCTGTTCACATTTCTCCTCACTGGGTGGGGGTTTCAGGCCTGGGACTCGAACACAACTACCCTGTCCTCTCCTGAACACTTCAGTAGAAACACTTCAGCTCTGCATTTGTCTGAGGAGACAGTCTCAGAGACAACCCACAACTCCTCCACCGTTGCAGCTGCAGTGGAACTGCCCTAGCTGCTCTTGGGCTGGGGAAGAAACAAAAGGCCTGGTCACTACCCTGTCACCTCCAGCACACAGCAGCCAGCATTGGAGAGGAATCCGGTCTCCCCTCCCTACGAGCTCCCACCCCCACTCTTCACCACACAGGGCTGCTGGCTTTGAACTGCAGAACAGCTGCCCCACCTATGGCTGAGCATACCCCCGGGACAGTGACTCTGTGTTTTCCTGGGGAGGGGGCCCCAGAGGCAACTGCAGTGGTTCTACACCTGATACCCTCAGTCCAAGGAAGAAACAAAGACCCGAGTTTCTCTGGCGCTTCCAGCATTTCACAGTCACCACAGAGGTGGAGAAGCACAGTCTCTCCTCCCTGTGAGTCCTAAGTGCCCCACTCCTCAATGAGCAGAGCCCCCAGTTGTGGCCAGCAGTGTAACTGCCCATCCCGCAGCTGAACATTCCCAGTAGCAGTGGCTCTGCATTTCTCTGAGGTGCAGCTCCCAGAGGCAACCGAAAGCCCCTCTGCCACTGCTGCTGCAGAGGTACTGCCCTTGCAACCTTCGTACTGGATAAGGAGCAAGACCCTGAGTGCTTTACACCTCCAGTGAGCTGCAGTTGCCCTAAGGAGAAGAACTCAGTCTGTCTCCCTTGTGACCCACCCGTAGCCCTGCTCATCACCAAACCCTCTGGCTTGGGCCCACAGCACAGCTACCCCATCCTTGGCCAGCTGCACTGGTGGATAGCAGCTCCTCGTTTCTCTGGGGTGGACCACCAAGAGACAAGTGAAAGGCCCTCTGCCATAACCACTGCTAAGGTTTCTTCTCCTGCAGCCTCCAAGCTGGAGAGGGAACATAGAGTCTGAGCTACAGTGTGCCAAGCCAAGATCTGCAGCCGGTACTCAAGTGAGAAAGAAGCCCACACTTTCAGAGCACTGAGAGGGAGCATGTCTGCAATCTTGAGGAAATGCAGACAGATGGCAGGGCAAGAGCCTACCTACTGGCCAACACACTTAAGCGCCACCTACTGGATCACAGCCCAAACTTCAACACAAAAATATTTTGCTAATACAGACCCCTGTGTAACCATGGACAGGAATTCAGCTAGAAATAAAAACTCTGCGCAAAGCCTCAGCTCTCTGAAAACATCCAGGAAAGAAGGTTTCTAGCTACTCAAATTATACCACAGTTAACATGAGCACACAC